CAAAATCAAAAGTTCACGATAATTTCAATCAAACAAAAAACAAATCGGCAATCAAACACAAGCTAACGTGTTACACAAACATGCGTCTTATTTTTTAAATGAAACAATTTGTTCACTTATTAAATAATCCGGCGAAATAGGGTAAACATTCACAAGTTCTCAAAGAAAATCGTCTATCCTGTTTGTTATGATTACATGTACTGGCATGCGAGCAGTTCCCGTAAAAAATCATAGTTATTTTTATTACGCTCACTCACCAATATTTGAATGTTACACATCAATATTCGGCTCGTCACACAAATCATGGAAATTCCATCATGTTCTAAACATAGAATAACCCTTACTTATGAGGCCTCATATGGGGTACCGAAATTATCCATTATTTTGTATGAAGAGAAGTAGTTCCCGTACATAAAATCTAACCCATTATAATTATACAATTTTATTATATCGGACCTATTTTTCATTTACAATTGTTGAAGAGACCATTATCTAAGAGATAAATAGATGTAATTCAGGAAATAGAGCGTAGACTAAACGCGGGTATCTATTACCCGGTACCGTTACCCCAACGCATTCATATGCAGTAACATGCTTGTATGCATGATATTTTACGCATCAAAGCCATAAAATTATTATTTATAGTAATATTGGTCAACATTCTGATAATTAAACAATTTTTCATCACATTGCCTACTTATTTGTAAACAGGTGGTATTAGTGGAAAACCCTTTAACAAGCCTCACGTGTAAGTATTTTTGCGCATGCGCGCAAGGACGGAATCCCCCAGAGAAAACAAGGTCACGTTTTGACGACGCACAGGTGAAAGTGATTTAAAATGAGACTTTATATACGTACTGCCGAACTGACACTTAGATTTTGTCTCGTTTATGTATCTGCTTGATTTGAAATGAATTTTTGAAGAATGCAAGTAAAAATCAAGCGTTTAAATGAAAAATACGGGTACTGCTTCTGTACGGGAACTGCTCGCATGCCAGTATAGTATGACGTGAACATCGATGATATCATTTGCAATATAAATTATGACGTCACTTCATAAAACTATTCGCTTGTAATTGAAATCGAAATCAAAATAATAAATGAATAAATATCGCATCTTGATTCAAGACTTGTAAGGGTATGTAGAATTCACATGCTGATAAAAATGAGAATATATTAAGCAATTGAAAAAATTCCGTTAAAATGGGAGGGGCTTATTTTTGGTATCAGGTTACTGGCCTGATATCAAAAATAATTATCAGGCAAGTGTTATCGGGCAGTTACCATAGCAGTTGCATGATAAAAAATTTGTTTCATTCTTTCCGTTTCAAAGGTGTCATTCGGTATTACATGCACCGCTTCCGTTTTCACTCGGAACACTCGACGATTATTATTTATCCGAAAAGTTGAGATTTGTTCCTTTATCGGAATACCCCACCTATTATCATTGAGTTACATTGTAAATGGCGGCGCCCGACTAGAACTGACACTGAAAATTTCATAGATAGGAATAGAATTCTATATATTTTTTAATATGTAATTAGGCAAAGCCACAGGCACGAGTATCGGACCTGGGAAGAAAAAATATGACCAGATTGATAAAAAAAACCTGTGTTCATCTTAAAAGTGTCAAAAAAACAACAAAAAATGTAAATAATGACCCCCTTTAAAAATATACTATAAGTTAAGAGAAGGCCGGAAACTCCAGATTCGAGCCTACGAGCAAGGGATTCATTTCCCGGGCCGTTGTGAAAACAATTGGTCAGACAATTAAAAAAACTTTTATCACTATTTCACGTTTATACTAAGCTTCAAAATGAGACCCACCCCAAGTCTCTAGCCCTTCCCGTTCATGAAATATCTATCAGGAAACGAGCGACTTCGTGCTAAAAATCCTTGGTAGACAGAATTGCGGCACAGCAATTCGATACGTAAACATAGACTAATACATGTATGTCAGCTGAGTATGGGTCAAAATCACTTGAATTTACTAAATAATAATATGAAATTAGGCAAAGCCTATGAACGGGGAAGTCGTTAAAATATTCCTTTCATTCCTTCCGTTTTAAAGGTGTCATTCGGTATTACATGCACTGCTTCCGTTTTCACTCGGAACACTCGACGATTATTATTCATCCGAAAAGTTGAGATTTGGTACGTTATCGGAATACCCCGCCTATTATCATTGAGTTACATTGTAAATGGCGGTGCCCGACTAGAACTGACACTGAAAATTTCGTTGATAGGTATAATATTCTATATATTTTTTAATTGTTTTTTATTTGATTTTCTTTTAAATATACACGTGTAGTCTATAGCCGGGCAAGCCAAAGCCCGGACCCGCTTCGCGGGCCCGGTCTTTGACTTCCCCGTATTACTTAATACATTAAGTTGGACCACTCACAACCGTCAGTAGCATCTGATACACGCAAAATTCGAATTTCAAACCTTTCCACGGTCTTTAGATTACTTTCTACGCCATTGTCAATCAGCTGTTCGATATTTTGTAACGAGTCTTCTGATTGGCCAATAGCAACGAAAACCGCAACGTTTCACACAAGATGCCTAATGGCGTAGAAAGCGATTGAAAGACCGTGTAAATGTTTGAAACTCGAATCTCGTGTGTATTAGATGCTACTGACGGTTGTGAGTGGTCCAACTTAATGTATTTAGTAATATTATTAAGTAAATTCAAGTAATTTTGACCCGTAGTCAGCTGACATACATGTATTAGTCTATGTTTACGTACCGAATTGTTGTGCCGCAATTCTGTCTACCAAGGATTTTTAGCACGAAGTCACTCGTTTCCTGATAGATATTTTATGAACGGGAAGGGCTAGAGACTTGGGGTTGGTCTCATTTTGAAGCTTAATATAAACGTGAAATAGTGATAAAAGTTTTTTTTAATTGTCTGGCCAATTGTTTTCACAACGGCCCGGGAAATGAATCCCTTGCTCGTAGGCGCGAATCTGGAGTTTCCGGCCTTCTCTTAACTTATAGTATATTTTTAAAGGGGGTCATTATTTACATTTTTTTTTTGTTTTTTTTTTTTTGACACTTTTAAGATGAACACAGGTTTTTTTATCAATCTGGTCATATTTTTTCTTCCCAGGTCCGATACTCGTGCCTGTGGGCAAAGCCTATGAACGGGGAAGTCGGTAAAAAATCCTTTCATTTTTCTGTTTTAAAGGTGTCATTCGGTATTATATGTACCCACTTCCGTTTTCACTCGGAACACTCGACGATTATTATTCATCCGAAAAGTTGAGATTTGTTCCGTAATCGGAATACACCGCCTTTTATCATTGAGTTACATTGTAAATGGCGGCGCCTAACTAGGACTGACACTGAAAATTTCATTGATAGGTATAGAATTCTATATATTTTTTAATTGTTTTTTATTTGATTTTCTTTTAAATATTCACGTGTAGTCTATAGCCGGGCATGCCAAAGCCCGGACCCGCTTCGCGGGCCCGGTCTTTGACTTCCCCGTATAAACTTATTTAAGACAAACCATACAGTTCGCCAAAGGAGAATACTATAAGACATTGTCTTTCATTCTCATCCTTTTCCATTGTGTAAAAATATTTTGTTTGTTATATATTTGTATGTACATTATATATACTTTCGGGAATAAATATGTTTAAACCAAAAAGAAATTGATTTACATGTTTTTTTAAAGTAAATTGATGTTTACTACATTTTATTTATCAATTTATCGGTTTCCCCATTAAATTATATTTGGAGTTTGATATTACACAAAAACTAAACTGTTCACGTAAATGGCTGACAGAAAAGACTGCTCTGTGAAACATCTGTTATTTTAGGACACATTTAAATTAGTTTGTTTTCATAGTCAAAAGTTTTGCGATATTAAAAGTGGTAAAATTAATATTTACATATGGTGGCTGATTTGTGCCATTCGTGTTTTCGTCACGCGATCCTGCCAAGCGAAAAATCGAGAATTAACAAGTTAAAATGGCGGGGCGCGCAGCGAAAACACGCTAATTAGCGAGGACGCGGGACGAAGTTGAATAAATAAAACTTCCCCGCGGGGCGATATTTAAGAAATAAAAAGTCGAGGGCGTGGAGCGAAAACACGCTTATTAGCGCTCCAATTAATAAGCGTGTTTTAGCTCCGCGCCCCGCCATTTTAACTTAATAATCGACTTTTCGCTTGGTGGGGTTGCGGGACGAAAACACGGTAATTATCGGGGGCGCGCGACGAAGTTTTATTTATTTAATTTCGCACCGCGACCCCGCTTTTTAGCGTGATTTCGTACAGCGACCCCGCCGTTTTATTTCTTTAATCTCGCTCCGCGCCCTCTGCGGGATAAAGTTTTATCCCCGCGCCCTCGCTAATTAGCATGTTTTCGCTGCGCGCCCCGTCCATTTTTACTTGTCAATTTTCGACTTTTCGCTTGGCGGAGTCGCGGGGCGAAAACACGAATGGCACAAATCAGTCCCCATACTTACATTTACACATTTATACATTTTTACTGATACATCAAATTCAATGATTGCAAAGTTATGTATCTACGGTAATCTTGAACCACCACCTTAAATATTTCATGATTGCAGATTGAAAATAAGTCAGTACTCAGTATTTAAGCAGAAGCCGGTTAACACTTTTAGAACGATGTACCCCAACGTTCGTAAATATGTAGCATATCAACGCACTTTGGGGTTCATTTCTGTATTTTGATTCCAAAGTGAGTTTGAACCCAAAGTGCGCTGTGAAGTTGACGCACTTTGGGGTCGGACCGCAAAGTGCGTTTGACCCAAACGTTCGGTGTTACATACCCTCGAGCTAGCTATACCGGGCTATACGAAGGGCGGCCATTTGATGTTTTATTTACTGTAGCTTATTCTGTGACAAATTAATTTAGAACACCGATATCAAAATCTAAATGCGGATGATTTGTAATGTAAATATCGGATGCAAATAATATACAGTGCATAGCATTACAAGTAAATTTTAACATTAATGTGGGTCTTACCTTGACTGAAGAAAAACTTTTGCATATCGGACATATTGTCCATTTTGGTTTCCCCTTCATCTGGATCGGTGAGATAAGCAGCAGTTGGAACGTCATTTGCAGAATTACTTTGCGAACCAGGAGCACTTCAAAAATAAATAAATAAAAAAAATCAGAAAACAGCCAATCACGCATGCTTAGTAGATGATTAAAACAAATGGTTAACATTCCCGAGTCTTAGAAACGTGATTGCGTTTGACTGTATCACTAAGGGGTTGATCAAAGCTTGGTTGAATTCTATATTAGTTTAAACATATTTATCTTAGCTAGGTTCCTGCACTAGGCCACCACTCTCCTTTTGTGATATGTCAGTATTCTTATGGTATAAGGTGTAGAGCCCGCTCATTCTAGTGAGGAACCAATACAAAGAAGGTTTGATAGAAAAACAAGCATTTTTGCTTTTCCCTTTAAGTATATATGTGCCGCGTCACGACAAAACCAACATAATGCGTTTGCGACCAGCATGGATCCAGACCAGCCTGCGCATCCGCGCAGTCTGATCAGGATCCATGCTGTTCGCTTACAAACCCTATAACAAGTAGAGAAACTGATAGCGAACAACATGGATCCTGATCAGACTGCGCGGATGCGCAGGCTGGTCTGGATCCATGCTGGTCACAAACCCATTATGTTGGTTTTGTCGTGACGCGGCTCAAATATTGTTATTTGCTCCAAGCAGATTAAAAATGTCACGTGCTATAGGCTTCGTGAATATATCGATAACCAACCATGTGAACTCATGGATTTTATTGGACATCAAATGGATCTGGCATTCTCTTGGTTTACTTACCTTAATGACTCAACTTTGTATGTAACATAGCACAGAAGACCCAGCTGAACTAGCACAAATAAGGTGTAAACAAATAAAACTAGCTTGCGTCTCCTTATGTCAACCTTGAAAATCGTTCTTCTAGGCTTTCTTTCCTGTAACATACAAACATACATGTAACAGATTCAATAGAGCTGGGTTTTTTTTTAAATAAAACTAATATAAACCAATGTATTAAATACATGTATGTAATCTTGGCAAACGATTTGAATAGGCCATGCCAATAGAAATCTAAAAAAAAACCCGAAGCATCATTTGTAAATGATTTTTTAGAGATTGTAAATGTTAAGTTCATGGAAAGAAAAAGATATTCTGAATATCTTCCAAGGACCTCCAGTGTCAGTGCGTGAGAAGGGGTTCCCATTATCTCTTGTATCACAACATAAACAATATCTTTCGTTTCTTGGTCAATTATTACGGGTATACCTCCCTGTTTGTATCCTCGATTTGCTATACATATTCAAAACAGTTTCATACCATTATTGCTTAACAAAATCTATCATTTCTCAGAACTAGACTATTCAAACAAGCTTCACTTTAATCAAGTTAACATCAAACAGAATTGGTTTTGAATGGTCAAATTCTTGATCTTATAAAATGCATTAATATCCATGGTTGATGTCAAGGGTGAAAAAAATGGCCCATTTAAACCCGGGCTCAAAATCCGGAACCCACGGAATGGGCACCGTGGTCTTAAGACAAATTATGCATCTTTTCCCCTAAACCCAAAAACAGTTTTTAAAATACCGGAAAACATTAAAATTTTATTTACATGTAGTAGTTAGAATTTTCCCAAAAAAACCCGACGTACGTAACAGCACCAGTTGCTTAGTATTTGCCCTACCTATACATCCAATGAGAATGGTTAAAGATATACTATGATCATCCTTGAGTAAAATATTTTGATAACAGAAATTTATTGAAATCTATAAAATTCTTACTGAATATGTCTAATTTGAAAAAAGAATGAATAAATTGTGTATTGGAAGCTGCGTTCCCTGTTACAGGTCAAGTAAAGTTTGTTCTTCCTTAAGAAAAACTGCCAGTTTTTTAATCACATGTCCATGTTTTCATAATCTGACCTATAGGGCGTTGAATTTTAAAAAAAAAACATATCTACTTTGTGTGAAGTCAAAACATGACTTTTTTCATACTTACAAAGAGACTGTGTAGGATTTATCAATATTTCTAATATCGAATTGAAGTATAGCATATCTTTTGTATAAACTGTCCTCGATAATGATTATTTTTATAATTTAAACCGTAATATTTCGCAACGCCTTGACATACTATGGTGGCTGATTTGTTTCATTCATGTTTTTTCGCCCCGCTGCCACCCATGCGAAAAGTCGAGAATTGGCGGGGGCGAGCGAAAACACGCTTATTGACATTACGATACAGAAGAATTGCTCCACCCACTGATTCAATGAAACAGTAAAATTTAAAAATGTTTTTTTAAGGTTTATGTGCGAAATCACTTAAAAGATGTACTATCTCAAATTTGATATTATAAAACATTGGTAATTACTACACGGTGTCTTTGTACATATGAAATACACAAAGTAAACTTCTTTTTCACTATCAGATACACCTCCAATGTCAGCCATGATGAGTACACTTGATGAACTTTTTTTCGCCGCTTCTTTGTCAAGTCTTAATACAGAATGTTATAATACATAAGTCATTAGTCATAAGACAAAAGTATGGAAGCCTTGGATAATATGGAAGCACTGGAGGGCCCTTTTGACTTCTGACTTAATGACTTTTGACTTGAGAGTAATGACTTTTGACTTGGGAGTTTTGACTTTTAACTCAAGATTTATTACTTCTAAGTTGTGAAATTAATTAATTAAACCACACTTCAAGAGAGAGCACGTGAGTAATAAGCGAAGATGGCTGTGTTGGTGCCAAAATGTGAAATTCGTGTTTGCTTGTTGTTTTCTGTGCACTCTGTTTGAAGATAACAGCTGGTGTGGTGCCAGCCTTACCTGCCTTTGTCGTCTCCGAATGTTGATAAAGCATCACTAATTGAAGAATATTTCAAAACAAGGTTTTTTAAAATACAGTGAAATTCTTGGATTTTTGCTTTTCTTAAGCATGGTATTTTGTTTTTGTCACTGCGGTCAGCTGAAAAGAATCTTGAAGAAGTTGAACCTGAAACGTCGAGGTGTACATTTGTAATCGCAGTTGAAAAACGTTGTTCGTGTAATTGGCACGGAAATGCATTATTAGTGGACAGTCCTGTCGGTTAATCGGACGATATGGCGCCGGCTGAAAGTGAATCATAATATGGATGTTAGCCATAAAAATGTTATGGAACATAATTTGAAGGCAAATAGATCCAAATGGTGTTGAAATGAGAAAAGCAATCGACTTAAAAGACGTTTCTATTGTGCAAAGGGGCCAAACAATATTTGGCATTTAGATGGTTATGATAAGTTGAAACCATTCAGATTTTGTATACACGGAGCAGTAGATGGTTTTAGCAGGAAAGTTATCTGGTTAGAAGTTTCTGACACGAACAAAGATCCAAAACTGATTGCGATATATTATTTGGATGCATTGAAGCGCATTGAAAAAACACCTCGCATACTTCGTTGCGATGCTGGAACAGAAAACATGTAGTGTTGTTTGTCTTCTACAGCAGTACTTTCGGAATGAAGCAACCGAGCACTTTGCTGGTAGTCGCAGCGTTATTGTTGGAAGAAGCACTTCTAACCAGCGCTTTGAAAGATGGTGGGGTACGCTACGTCAAAAAGGAATACAGTGGTGGATTAACTTTTTTAAGGATTTGTGCGATTCTGGTCGTTTCAATGAACTCGACCAGATACATTGTGAAAATTTGAAATATTTTGTTTAATGACCCTAATACAAACACCTGGATAGAATTGCTCAACAGTGGAATGTACTTTGAAATTAGAACCTCAGCACAATTCCGACGCACATAACGGAAAACCTGACATTATGTATTTTTTACCTGAAACGTTTGGGGGCGTGCTGATTAAGGTACTGTGGTTGACCAAACGTGATGTGACCTGTTGTAAAGACAAGTATTCAGAATGCCAGTAGATGCGGATTCAGCATTGAATTCGTTCCTGGAGTTGAATGATTTAGTGGCAAACTCGTATGAAGACTGAAGTCTTTTTAAGCCATAAAGTTGTTTTGTGAGAGAACAAATGATCAACACGATCCATCATTATCATCATGATCATCATCATCTACATCATCATGATTATCATTATAATTAAGTTGACTGCAATGATGATTGTTATGATGCTGTCCTCATGATGAAGGTCGACTATAAATTTAAAATAATTATGTTGTTGATGATAAGCAGAAGTTGATTTTCGATGATAATGATTATAATCATGACGATGATGATAACTATATTGAGGATGATGATCGTGATGATGTTGTAAACTATAGTATAATATATTTTATAGTTCATAACGTTAGTGGCATATGTTTATTTTTCTTATGTTTTGACAGTCAATTGTAACAAACGAATATGTCACGAAAAGTCAATTGTTATTTCTACGTTCAAATACATCATGGCTCACAAAGGTCTGTTTGTAACCGTTAAACGTTTCAGTCAAGAAAAAACTACGGACCTGTGACAAGTGTAGACCGAAAATTAGTCTGTGCAGGTGTGGCAGACTTACTAGGGCCTATAATACTTAACTTTCAGTTAATTAGAATCTGGCTATTAAAATAAATTCACTGCTCACGTTCATCTTTGTAGTACGAAACTTTGCACAGGATATCTAGCCAGTACTACCGTATTCTTCCTAGTAATCGCCCAGGGCGCTTAGAAAATTGTGACAGGTGGGCGCTTATTAGGAGTCTAGTCTTACAAAAGTAATACAATATGTAAGAGTCACAGCTATGCAAATTCTCGTATTTAAAGTGGTCCCGTTTTACTGGACAAATCATAACAATGGGTTTTGAAATGTGAAATATTTACAGTCTTTCCTTGTATTGTGAAATTTTCTAGGCCCGCGGAAATGCATAAAAATTTAAAATGTCGATTGTGGTCAGTTGATTTTTTTTCTTTTAAGACAATTTATCCTGGGTGCTTAACCACTTACAAATGGAAAAGAAGGGATGGGCGCTTATAGAAGCATTGGCTCTTATTAGGGCGAATAGGTAGTTATCCGTGGTAAGGTCAGCTTCAAAATTTCCAGGATGACGCATTTGTAAAGCTAAGAACGTTTTAAACGATATTGCAATGACACTTCGTGCACAATGGTCTGACTTGTGACTTCGTATTTCTGACTAGAGACTTCCTATTTGTGACTTTTGACTTCTTACTTGTGAGCTTCCTACTTGTGACTTTTGACTTCCTACTTGTGAGTAGTGACTTCAAACACTTGTGGTCTTGACTTTTTACGTATCGACCTCTATTACAAATGCATGGAATTAATACAGGTTTGGGGATTGGCAAAGGAACAGATATTCAACCGCCATGAAGCTGTACGTGTATCATAAAATACAACTAAAAATTTAATTATTCGAGGGCTTGGTGCAAAAACAGTTGTATTTCCTTCTTTATCTAGTTTTAAGTTACAACCATTCCTCAATAAGCCCTCAAAATGGATTAAACAACTAGACTCTATCTAGCCCTAGTATAAAGCGCCCGTTGTAGGGCAAGGTCTTGCACCAAAACTATGATTTTTTGTTCTTATTCCATCAGTCCTATTTACTCTAGCAAATTTAAGATTGACCATAGCACAGCTTTAGATACGAGACACCAGCACACGGAAGGTGGTTCTTTTTGTTATATATGACAACATATCAGCATCTCAGCAAAGCTTCTACTTAAGCTCACGCGAATAAAGAAACTACAATAAGAGCGTCATGGGCAGCACACTCGACTATTCTTAGTTCTTGGTATTAAAATGAAAAACCATCTTAGTCGACAAGGCAGTCAATTTTAACAAAATGCTTGACTGAGTTATCTACCATATCTAGGGGTTGGGGGTCATGGTGGTTAACAAGTCCTGCAAAATTTCAAAGCGATATCTTAAGGGACTTTGAACATAATTGATGTGGTATGAAAAAATTGGACAAAAACATTAAACAAACGCCCGACGCC